GAAAAGATAAATTGAGTTGGGAAAGTCTGCTGTCAGAGACCTCTCCAAAGTACTGAAGAGCAACGATGTCAGTCTGGAGACTAAGGTGCACCTGATCCAGGCCATGGTCTTTGCAATTACTTTCTATGCATAAGAGAGGTGGACAATGACTAGGAAGAACAGAAGAAGAATTGATGCCTTTGCGCTGTGGTTCTGGAGAAGAGTATTGAATATATCATAGACTGCTAGGAGAACAGACAAGTTTGTCCTAGAGAGGGTAAGACCAGGCTGCTCCTTGGAGGCAAGGATTCTGAAGCTTCATCTGACAGACTTTGGACATGTTGCAAGGAGGCACCAGTCCTTGGAGAGGGACGTCATGCTTGGGAGGGAGGCACCAGTCCTTGGAGAGGGACGTCATGCTTGGGAGGGTGGAGGGTGGAGGGACAGTGCAGGAGAGAATGAGATGGATTGCTTCAATGATTGGGATAATGGGGAGAGGTGTGTCAGAGACAATAAGGTTGGCATAGGAGAGAGCAGGGTTTAGGGCTGTTGTACATAGCATCACTATGAGTCGCAGGCAACATGATGGCACATAACAACAATATATAATTGCAAAGTTGGCAAAGACCATGGACTGTATCAGGTGCTCCAGAGTGACATCATTGCTCTTCAGTATTTTGGAGAAGTCTCTAACAGCAGACTTTCCCGTTGCAATACATCTTTTTATTTCCTGGCTGCTGATGCCACAGTCAACACTGTGGAGCCAAGCAAACTAAAGCTGTTGCTATGTGTCAGAGATCTGGACAATGACTAGGGAGGATAGAAGGAGAATTGATGCCTTTGAGCTGTGGTGTTGGAGAATAGTATTGAACATACCATGGACTGCTAAGAAAATGAACAGATTCATCCTAGAGAGGGTTCAACCAGGTTGCTCCTTGGAGGCAAGGATTCTGAAGCTTCGTCTGACATACTTTGGACATGTTGAAAGGAGGGACCAATCCTTGGAGAAGGACATCATGCTTGGGAGGGTGGAGGGACAGTGCAGGAGAGGAAGACCCTCTATGAGGTGGATTGATTCATTGACTGGGGTAATCGGGGTAGGTGTGTCAGAGACAGTGAGATTGGCACAGGATAGAGGAGGGTTTAGGGCTATGGTACATAGGGTCACTATGAGTCACAGGCGACTCGACACCATATAACAACAACAACATAAATATAGACTAGTTTACTTACAAAATTCGGATACAATGTTCTTCACACTGGAATAGTTACTTCACAAGAGTTGAAAGGACCTCAGGCCCTTCCATTCTAGAACTGGTTTCATTCTAGAACTGCTTCTACTCAACTTAGCCTGCAGAGTGTCACTGGCAACATTCGTGTTAGTCTAACTAGATCATCAAGCGTAGACGTTCTGGGATTTAGAAAACAAACACAAAACTCTACAAAAACCTCAAATTTTCCAGACCTACGGTCATACTCTGAGACTTGTTCAGGGCCAGCTGAGTTAGCTGCACCATGTTCACATTCATATTGTGACAATAAAATTAAGAGCTGCATCCAGTTTTGTAGACCAAGATTTACAACAGAGATTTTCCTTGATAACTCAGAACTGAATCAGTTAAATAAGGAGATTCTCACAGATTTGTTAAAGAACACTCTGACTGGATCGCTAAAGAGCTCTGGTGGTGACATGTATTATGTGTCCCATCGCCCACTGAAAGATCAGGAATTTTAATCTGCCAGTTGCTGTTTGAAAGAAAGACGGGACAGTCTCTTTCCTTAAAGATTTACAGCTTGAACCCCAATGGAAGGTCACTATGAGCCAGAATCGACTCAGTGACAGTGGGTTTCTCTTTCTTTTTACGGTGGTTTATTTGATAACTAAGTTGATATATTGCTAAAGGGAAGGAGATATTTGCTTTCCTAGTCCCACTAAAAAAAGGAATTTTTAAAAAATCTGTCTTTTAAAATAATGGGCTGTCTTCACTTTCACCGGGACTATACATATTTAAAACATGTGGTTTTGGCTTTTAAAAATAAGGGTCTCTCTGGAATTAAGAAGAATTCAGAAGGGAGACTGCTTTCAAAAGAAGTGAAGGGTTGAGTCATTCTGGACGAGCCAATTCCATTTATAGGCAAGAATGGAAAACTTGGGGATAGGACACAAAGGATTCAGAATGCCTGCAGCTACCTCTTCCAGGGCATGAGTAAGATAAGTAATAATATCAAACTGCAGAATGTTATGTACAGTGTGATTCCACTTATTGGAAAGTGGATAGTGAGTATTTCTGGCCGCAGAAATATAAGCTCTGAGGAGGACGACCCAAGAGCTGTAGGGTAGGACTCAGGTGCTAAGCCTTAAGCCCAAAGGCAGCGAGGTGGAAGCAGCAACATCAGACTGCGCTAGGGAAGAACCAGCACAAGCACCTTCATTTTGCTTCCTCAGGCATCAGTCCAAGAGGCTGACAGCAGTGTCTCAGTCCCCTTAAGGCCTTTCCTGAGCAGGCCAAAGGAATCCTTGGAAGGGCCAGTGGCCACTCCTGGGAGACAGTGGGTAGAGCCACAGGGATCCCTGGAGGTTGGAGGAGAAAGAGTCCCCACCTGTAGTGAGCCCAGGCCGCAAGCAGTGAGGACAGCTGCTCCCGTTCTTCCCTCTGCTCAACTCGACACAGCCAGGAGTCCCAGAACCTGCGCAGCAGCTGCAGCGTGACAGCAAGGACATGGACGTTTACTGAGATGAAAGGTAAAAGGATCTCCCTTAACCTGCTAATCCCAACTCTACTGGACTATAAAATTCCTCAAAGCAAGAATTCCCTGGATTCAGAAAAGATTTACAAAATAATTATTACTGAGCCAACTAGAGTTATGGGACAAGATAAATGGCAAAAGACGGATCTTTCTGTCTATGGAAATGTGGATGAAAAACCTTCCAATTCTGAGCTCTGGTGGCCTAGTGGCAAGAAGCTGCACTGCAATCCCAGAGGTTAGTGGTTTGAATCCACCAGATGTTCTGCTGGAGAAGGAGGGACAATCTGCTCCTGTACCAGTCAGATCTGATTTGACGGTGTACACACACACAGACACACACACACACACACATATTAAAAAAAGAAAAATAAAATTAAAAAATTTTTTAAAAAGAAAAAACTTCCAATATTGAGTCTTCTTTAGAAATTAAAGTTAATCCTATTGCCTGTCTCCCTGAGGAAGACTGTGACGAGACGGACTGCCAGTGACTGTAATGTAATGGTAAGCTTGAGCTTGAGAGCAACAGTGAAGACGCTGTAGGATAGGCCAAGGCGTTGATCTGTTAGTCACAGGGTCACTATGAGCTGTAGTCAATGCAAAGGCACCCACTGACGGTAACAATTATGTATTATCATTCATGAGGCTATTGTTGTTCTGTGCCATCAAATCACTTGTGACTCATAGTGACTCTATGTACAACAGCCCTATCCTGAGCCAATCATATTGTCTCTGACACATCTACCCCCATTACTTCAGTCACTGAATCAATCCATCTCATCGAGTGTCTTCCTTTCATGCGCTGTCCTTCTACCCTCCCAAGCATGACGTCCCTCTCAAGGACTGGTCCTTGCAACATGTCCCAAATATATCAGATGGAGCTTCAGAATCTTTGCCTCCAAGAAGCAGCCCGGCTTCACCCTCTCCAGGAAGAACCTGTTTGTTCTCTGAGTAGCCTTTGCAAAAAAATGTTTACTCTAATTAAGCCCTTATATCTAACTTCTAGTAAGAGGAACAACATAGATAAAGGAGAATTAAATGGCATTAAGTGGAGAAAAAGCAGCTAAATCTACAATTAGATACTGTGTAAGACTTAAACTGGCCCATTTGTTCTAAAGGTCATCTTTTTTAGAAAGCATTTAGTTGGGGAAGGGGGAAGGGAGGAAAACGTGCAACAATAAATGGAAATCCAAGTCCTCTATAAACTTTCATTAAAATCTCAATTAAAAATAAAAAAGAAAGGATTTAGTGGCCATGCTGGGGGGTTGGGGATCTGAGGGAGGGACTTGGGAAAGTTTTCATTTTCATTCTATGCCTTCCTTCCTATACAATCGGTTTTTCTCACATGGATATGGCACTACTTTCATTTATTTAACAGAAAGTCTAATTCTAGGAAATAGAGGACCCTTTACACAGCCTCCAGGACCAAACCATAAATGGCTACCTGGCCTGACCCCTAGATCTTAGGGATGAAACAATTACATGTGTGAAGTAATCTTTGATTGAATCTTGGCTTGAATGAGAAATAGCTATAAAGCCATTTTTTGGGCCAACTGTGGAAATTTGAATATGGATAAGGTATTGGATAATAATGAATTACTATTAATTGTGGGTGGAGTGATAACTCTATTTTGGCCATATAAGAAAATGGCCTTATCTAGGAGCAGAAATATTGTAATGTAGTGTCATGATTTTTATAGTTTATCTTGAAATGATTTTGTAAAAATAAAAGAAAACAATCCAGCAAATGGATAAATCAAGGTAGGGAGTCTATTTCTCTGTATGTCTGAAAGTTTTCTTAATCATAACAACAAACAAGAAACATGATGCCCTTCCCTTGTTCTCAGAAACAACTCTGCAAGTGGAGACAGAAAGGCTCTAGCCTTAGGAACACACAGGCACGTAAGACGACGCCACAATCACGTAAGTTTGGAGGTACTATTTCTATATACATTTCTGTATGTGTTACAGATAGATGTAGAGCGATCAGAAGGCAAAATTATGGAACCTTCTTAATCAAAACCAAGTACCTTGAGGGAATGAGTCACTGAGTTTGGGAGCCCAGGACCACAGTCTTGGGGGACATCAAAATCAACTGCTCCACAAAGACAATGTTCTACAGCCTACTTTTGTGAGTACTGACTGAGGTGTTAAAAGTTTGCCATTAAAAAAAAAAGTTTGCCATTTAAGGTACAATAGCCATTGGTCTTTCTGCATTAATAGAAAAGAAGAGGTAGGGGCAGGGGAATAAAAGACTATTAGTCAAAAAAAACTAAAAGATCACATGAAATTTAGTCTCAACATCTCCAAGACCAGAAGAATGAGATTGTGCTTGGCTATCATTGCGGATCATTCTGAAAGGGATCATAGTAGAAGATCACTGATAAAGTGGGAGAAAAATGTGGAACAAGACTAAAAAACAGGTTTATTGGTCTGAATATCCCATGGATGGCTAGAACAAACAGGTTTGTCCTAGAGAGGGTGAAACCAAGCTACTCCTTGGAGGCAAAGATTCTGAAGTCTGACATACTTCATGCATGTTGCAAGGAGGGCTATCATGCTTGGGAGAGTGGAGGGACAGCACAAGAGAGGAAGAGCCTGGATGAGACGGATTGATTCAGTGACTGGGGTAATGGGGGTAGGTGTTTCAGAGACAATAAGATTGGCTCATGACAGAGCAGAGTTCAGAGCTGTGGTACATAGAGTCGTTATGAGTCACAGGCACTTGACGGCACACAACATTGGTCTGAAAGAGATCAGTAGAACCACGCGACTATGGTGCTTAGTTAGCGTTCAAGCCTGGAACTGAAACCACCCCTTCCCCCTGATTCAACTTTCAGTCTTCAAAAACTGTGCTGCAATCCCAAAGGCATGCAGCTCGAATCCACCAGCTGCTCCGCAGGAGAAGGGTGGGCAATCTACTCCCGTGATATTTGCGGCCTCTGAAAACCCACTAGAGGGTTAGCTGTGAGTTAGTTCTGATTTGACGGCACACAACAACAACAATAGCTCAAAAGGAAGGAGGACTAAGAGAGAAGGACATGTAGATGCAGGATATACAGGGATGAACTGGGACGACTCCTGATTGTAAACATTGTCACAAAATATAGTATGTATTAATTGTTGAATGGAAAACCAATTTGTTCAGTGAATTTTCATTCCAATCACAATAAAAAGTTAATTTTTAAAAAGAGTGGCACTTGCCCTAACTTTAACCACTACAGAAAATAGCCTCCTATAAGCCAAGACCAAACCAGTATTTGTATTGCTACATATCTCAGGTCAGCCCTGGAATCCAGGGCCTTTGACTTCTGATTCAACTGTTTTCCTAGCAAACAAAAAAAGACTAAACAAGGCAAAATACAAGAGCTTCTCTGTCAGCAGGTATGGATTACCAGGGAAAGCAGGCACTAGGAATTTTGAGTCTAAGGGTCTAGACAAATCGCTAAGCGCAAATTAAAATAAAAGAGAAGACAGCCACCCAAGGAAGCGCTGATAGAGAAGTGAAGCCTCACCGCGGCCTCATGCTGCCGATGGGCAAGATTTCGTCTGATCTGCTGAAGACGGGCCTGGGCCACATTGCCCTGTAGAGCTCTAAAGCAGAAAGTCTAGGAAAAGAAAAGACACACAGATTACAAAATTATAGTGAAACACACAATCACAGCAGACAAAAGCCTGTGTCAGGTGACGAGAAACCATTCACAGTCATCACCATTCCCCTGAGAGGATCTCTCTGCTCTGATGTCCAGTCAGGAACTACCCACAAGTCAGCCTGCATAGGAGATTCCTCCCAAGTACTGACCGAGCAGTCACGTTCTCTTTTAACCATGTGAGATTCCCGTAACTAATAATGATACATAAAGAACTGGCATGTGAAGTCAATTTGTATGTTTATATAATTACTGAAGCAGTTTCGCTACAAGAAAAGAGAAAGAGCCCTTGGGGACAGGAAGGCTATCTGGGCCTGGCTCCAGTTCCAGTAACCAGGCCGATGCGACCCAGGCAAAGCCCTTCTTCCTGGCCCTCACCCCCTGGGCCCCAGAAGTGAAGGAATTAGATTGCTCTGGACTGGGGTATTGACATTGTGCTCTATGAGGGGAATTCCACAGGTTCTCGAGTATCTGAAATACCACCTCATGGGAAGAGGACAGAGCCAGAGCAGGGATCTACTAAAAGGCCTTGCTTCAACCACAGAATGTCTACTTTGATCTGTTTTACCAAGTTGTTGCTGTTCTTGTTGTTGTTAAGTGCTGTCGAGGTAAGCACTATGAACAAAAGTGACCCTATGAACAAAAGATCTGAACCCTGTTCTAGAACTATTATCTTTTCTCTAATACTATTATCGTTTCTCTAATATTTTAGCAAGAAGCAGTTCCTATTTAAAAGAAAGCCCATGAAGACATCAACTCTGAGGTTCCTTTTCAGCTCCCACCACTCTGTCCCCAAACCATTACCATCTGACTTGGAAGGAAGACAAGAAGGACACCACAGCAAAGGGCTCCAGGTGCTTCCAATCCCAGAGCAGAATCTGTGGGCACCAGGAGGCTCTTACCAGCAGGTGACGCCGGTGGTGCTCCTCTGCCATCTTATACTGGGCAGCTTCTTCCACACATATCAGCACATCTGCCACAATGTTAAGGCTTTTAATCTCAATAGAGTTCCCCTAGGCAAGTAGTGTGATTCCTTAGCGGCTCACCTAAAGAGTCACAGCAGCAGATGGTAACAGGCATACCCAGCAGGTCAGTTCCCACCTCTCCTTCCCAATGACCCAGGGAAGCAGGAGGCAAAGGGAAACCAGATGACAGCTGGCCACACTTTCCTCTACTCTGTTGCACATCTGATGAGAGAGGGAGAAAAAAAAAACAAACCCACTGGATATGCACTATCACCTATTTCAGGAATAACAACTTCAAAAGCAACATTTCTAAAGCTGAATCTCCTCTTCATCTTGCATTCTCTGTTTTGGCATAATAATCTCATCAGTTAATACAAATCCTGGCATTATTTTCAGAACTTCTGTTCTCCTATTAAGCCAATAAATCACCAAGTCTATCTGCTTGTCTCCTGAGTTTCTCATGGATCCACCCTCCCTTCTGTTTCCCTACCTGACACCCTGACATTCACCTAATTTGATTCAAGCCCTTAACTCTCAAAGAGGCTAGTAAGTGACCCATTATATATCACTGGCTTCCCCGTGCTAGCTTCCCATCTTTAGTCCAGAATCATCTTCCTAAAGCATAAATTTGGCTGCATCATTTCTCTTCTTGAAAAGCTTCAGAGGTGAGGCTCCTCCTTACTATCGTCAGAAGCAAATCGAGTTCACTGTACAAAGGTCTCTACAGGCTGGTCCCCCATTACCTGCCCTTGCATATGCTCCACCATCACCCCACCCATGTAAATCACTACCCATTAATCACCATTATCCTTGACTACTTCCTTCACATCTACACCTACGTCAATGCCATATTCTAATGTCAGAGTCCACCTTTTCTGTTGAAGACTTAAACTCAGCTCCAACATCAACTGCTGGGATGTGTATCTCCAAAGTTGCTCTGGGTACAAACCTTTACGGCAACACTTATCACACCATGTTGTAAAGGCCCATTTGCAAACCTATACTCCCTACTTGGTTGTGTTGTTGGGTATCATCAAGTAGGAGCTGACTCATGGTTGACCCTCTAAGGAGTTTTTGGAGGCCGTAAATTGCATAGAAGGAGATGGCCCATCTCTTTGCCATGGAGCAGCTGGTACACTGGAACTCTCAGAGAGGCACTGCCTTGTGTTTAACAGTTTAACTCCCTATAGATTATTATTTCAAAGTGTAAATGGCTTTTACATACTTTTTTTTGTCTACATATTCCTAATTAAACAAATAAATAATCTGTTAAAAAGTCAACAGAGATGAGGACTGTCTTAAATAGCTCAGAAACTATCACATGGCACATTTTCTGCACACTGTTGAGGGCATGGTGTCGAGGCTGAGGTGGGTGGACAGGGCTGGGCAGCTTAAAAGGATACAGTGCTTCCAGTGAGTAAAGGCCCGCCGCAGCGCCATCCGCGTGGCCAGCTCCTCCACCAGGGCGTGGTGGGCATACAAGCTCTCCCTCCACTTCCAGGCCCACTGCCAGTCACAGAAACGTGTCTGGAGCATGTTGACACGGTGGAATCGTTCTGCTGTCTCTACATAACAGAAAGTCACTAAGTTACTCCTGAGGTTGAGAGTTGAGCTGCAAGCATGTTAAAGTGAACCCCATTACTGGCAGAGAGCAGGAATGTAAATCTATTGTTGCAAAGAATTCTTAAATTTTTTAAATATTTTTTTTTACAGAGGTTTTGGATTTCCATTCATTCATTGCCGCAATTTTCTCCCTTCCCACCCCTCCCCACCAGCGAATTCTTAATTTTTTTTTAAATACTAGAAATTAATTAGAAACCACTCAGCCATATCCCCTTGTCTCGAAGGAATGAGAAAGGGATTGTGTTTTCATGGCTGGAATGTTATAAAAGCTGAATCAAATGGTTGAGGCTTAGAGTCATAATCTAATTAGAATTTCTGATGAGGAGCAATGGCGATGGTTGCTCTCGGATCACACTGTTTTGCTTTGGCCTTTCCACTGATTTCTCTGGATACGATCTGGGGACCTAAGCAGGTGGCAAGCAATGCAGCAGGTGTACTGAAAGGCTTTCCTTAACTTTCAGCCAAGCTGACCTCTTCCTTTTAAAACTAATCAGCTAATGGCCCGAAGAAGTGGGCTAAAACCAGGAAAAGGAAGGGGATCAGTCATGGGATTAGAATAATGTTATCGGAGGCATGTTTTAGTCTGCCATTCACTGTGCTCAAAAGGAAAATGCCTACACCTTCCAGACGTTCCCTCATCACGCGGATACAATCAGTGCTTCTAAGAGACAGGGCTGGGATCCTCACCGATTTGTGCAAGGAGGTGCAGGCAAGAGCCAGAGAGTCTTCCTCAGTGTCCTAGCACAGTGCCTGACCCATTTCACTGCAGGCTCAATAAACTGAAGTACAAGAAGTGTACCCAGGTTACAGTCTCTGTATAATTATTTCTGAACTCTAATTGGGAAAGGAACTACCAAGGAAATACCAAATCACAAGCATAATTAAGGACAAGGTTCAAATTGACCAGCTGCTCTGTGGGGGAAAGATGGGCCATCTCTGCCCCTGCAATTTACTGCCTCTGAAAACCTGCTGGAGGGTCAGCTATGAGTCAGCTCTGACTTGACAGTACAAACAATACCAGTATTTGAAAAACTAGAATTATCCAAACATCTATCACCACAAGAATAAGAAAAGCATGTGATTTATGATGTCAAGTCTTTCGGACACAATTCTCAAGGTATAGTTTCCCAGTTAAAGTTCTCAAGTAATAATATACAGAGAGTATATTTTATACCTCTGTATACTAAGGCAAGTCATTCTATAAACCTCAAATATTAGAAAATATCATTTATGAAAAATACTTAAAGACATATGAAGGTATTGATTAATTGTATAACAACAACAACAAAGCAAGTTACTGTTAATAACGTTTATGAAAAATGGGAATCTATGAAAGAGAATGAAGATAATATTTTAAGTACTGAAACAGTACATCAGAAAATTTGGCCTTTTCAGCAGGAAGTAGCTAAGAGAATACGCCATCCCCTTTTCCTTATGACTCAGGGTGAAGTCTCTCTCAGGGAGGAGTGATAGGGAATGGCAA